CACCACATGTTATAGCCCATATCACCACATGTTATAGCCCATATCACCACATGTTATAGCCCATATCACCAAATGTTATAGCCCATATCACCACATGTTATAGCCCATATCACCACATGTTGTAGCCCATATCACCACATGTTATAGCCCATATCACCACACGTTATAGCCTATATCACCACATGTTATAGCCCATATCACCATATGTTATAGCCCATATCACCATATGTTATAGCCCATATCACCATGTTATAGCCCATATCACCATATGTTATAGCCCATATCACCATGTTGTAGCCCATATCACCATATGTTATAGCCCATATCACCACATGTTATAGCCCATATCACCATATGTTATAGCCCATATCACCACATGTTATAGCCCATATCACCACATGTTATAGCCCATATCACCATATGTTATAGCCCATATCACCATATGTTATAGCCCATATCACCACATGTTATAGCCCATATCACCATATGTTATAGCCCATATCACCACATGTTATAGCCCATATCACCACATGTTATAGCCCATATCACCACATGTTATAGCCCATATCACCATATGTTATAGCCCATATCACCATATGTTATAGCCCATATCACCATATGTTATAGCCCATATCACCATATGTTATAGCCCATATCACCATATGTTATAGCCCATATCACCATATGTTATAGCCCATATCACCATATGTTATAGCCCATATCGCCGCCAGGCCAACCTGTCAAGTGTAATTAGAGGGTAATAAAATTATTGTGACGTGCAATGTCAGGGTTACATTTTTTCAAACTGATCACGTGACTTTCTACTGCCATCACGTGACACATTTGCTAGCTAATCAGCGTGACGTAACGTTAACCCATGGACCAATCAACAGTCGACACGACTGGCCAGTGAGTGGACCACGTGAGCGGCGCCGACCAGTCTAGACGTGTCAAGTCCAGCTGGTCAGTGCTGCCACGGCTGACGTAACACATGGCCTGCGCTGGTCGACTGGTCAGGCGGACCGGACATATGGCGGCGGGTGGTGATGTACGAGCTGGCGCCAAATGTGGCGTAACTCTTCGGCCCCACCACGGGTTGGGTTCACGATGGTGATTGCAGCACCCCCCCCCCTCCCCCATGTCAAAACGTCGCCGAAGGCCCCGGATGTAATTAAAAGCCCGTCTGATCTCCCGCGCGATTGATTACGTCACAAAAGATGGTCCGGTGACGTCACAGTAGATGGTCTGTAGACTGACCGGTGACGTCACAGAAGGTACCGTCGACCCACGGGATTGACCTGAGGTCACTGCGGTCTGGGCCCTGTGTCTGCTAGACCTTTGTACCACGGTGATGTCACGTGCTCATGCTGACCGATCACGTGATGGTACGTGCTCACGCTGACCGATCACGTGACCAATGTTTTTCTCCGAGGGGGGAGGGGGCGAACACTGGCAAAAGTATATATAAAGTATATATTTTCTATATAAATTTCAACTCGTTGGGGGGGGGGGGGGCAGAGCATATATCCTACCCCACGATTGTAAGGAAAAAAGTCACAGGAAAAAATAAAAAATATTTCTTAGAATATTTTTGTGACTTTTTTTCTGTGACTTTATTTCTGTGACTTTTTTCCGTTCACCCAACCCCCCCCCCCCCCTGAACTGGCCACAGCGCGCGGCGGATGACCACCAAAACAAAGCACATATCTGGCAATCTGCCGTGCGCACAAGCGACTATTAAAAGCGGATATGAGATGTGCCAGATAAAACTAATAGGGAGATAGGGGGGCCGGGCGCCGTCTGTAGTCCCGCCGTTCTGGGGATTAGATGTAATCTGACCCCCCCCCCCACCCCTCCCCCACCCCACCGACCCTATGATGACCCGGTTCTCAACTGGCCATTATACACGCGCTGATAATGAGGTTATTAATTAAGATACACATTCACTGCCGTGTTTCTGTCTGAAGAGATAAGAGAAACTCGGATTCGCTGGACTTGGCCGGCGAACTTCGCCTTCATCTGTGGCGAACTTCGCCTTCATCTGTGGCGAACTTCGCCTTCACCTGTGGCGAACTTCGCCTTCACCTGTGGCGAACTTCGCCTTCATCTGTGGCGAACACAGCGGAGATAGAATACCCAGCATGAGGTGTCAGTGTGGGGTAACTGTGTGACAGTGTGGGGTATGTGTCAGTGTGAGTAGCGTAGCGAGGGGGGGGGGGCGGGGGGACGGGACATATGTCCCAGGGCGCCGACCTCAGGGGACGCCAAAATGGGTTGGAAAAATAAATTGAAAGTTTGAGGGGGGGGGGGGGTGCAAATCGAAAAGTTTGTCACCGGGCGCCGGGAAGGGTCGCTACGCCCCTGGTCAGTGTGGGGTATGTTTAGGATTGTTGGAAAAAAAGTCACAGGAAAAAAAACAGGAAAAAAGTCACAAATATATATGTGACAAAAAAAACAAACATGTTAAACACAATGATATGCCTAAAATTCATTTCTAATTAACATCTCTAGAGCGTATTTAACTAAATTTATTACAAAAGTTGTGGTTGCTGTGTGAATTAGGTTACAGTATTTTTACTTACTAGTGTTATAAAACCACAACGCTTTTATCGTTTATAAAAAAAAAAAAAAACAACAACCCACATGGCCGCCTCAACCAAAATTTTACAATCTTCAACAATTAAAATAAAAATATTTATTAAAAGATTTTTGTGACTTTTTTCTGTGACTTCATTTCTGTGACTTTGTTTCCATAATTTTTTTTCAGTGACTTTTTTCTGGGTTTTTTTGTGTGACTTTTTTCCGTTCACTGTGTGTAGTGTTAGGGCGCCGCTCATACACTGCAGTGTTAGGGCGCCGCTCACACACTGTATCCTGTTAGGGCGCCACTTATACACTACACCGTGTTAGGGCGCCGCTCACACACTGATACGTGTTAGGGCGACGCTCACACACTGTAACCTGTTAGGGCGCCTCTTATACACTGATACGTGTTAGGGCGACGCTCACACACTGTAACCTGTTAGGGCGCCTCTTATACACTGCGCCGCTCACACAATTCACCGTGTTAGGGCGTCACTCATATACTGGACAGTATGGGGACGATGAATTAAACAATTGCACGAGAAAGATAGTAACCCACGGGCCATCTAACCCACGGGCCATCTAACCCACGGGCCATCTAACCCACGGGCCATCTAACCCACGGGCCATCTAACCCACGGGCCATCTAACCCACGGGACATCTAACCCACGGGACATCTAACCCACGGGCCATCTAACCCACGGGCCATCTAACCCACGGGACATATAACCCACGGGCCATCTAACCCACGGGACATATAACCCACGGGCCATCTAACCCACGGGATATATAACCCACGGGACATATAACCCACGGGCCATCTAACCCACGGGACATCTAACCCACGGGACATCTAACCCATGGGACATCTACCACCAACCTCCCCTCCCCCCTTCTCCGCCTAGCTTGCCGTCAGCTAATGTTGAAATGTTAAAAATATAATAATTATGACGGCAGTCATTTGTCTAGGGGCCGACAACCTGCTATATTGTAGAACTCCGTGTCTAGGATTATCGGCCTTAGCCACTTTAAATATTTATCTAGACGTGAGAAACGCTCGTGCAGGATCCGGTCTCCTCGTCCGTGACGGCGACGTAATTAGTCACGTCTCCGTGACGGCGACGTATTTAGTCACGTCTCCGTGACGGTCACGTATTTAGTCAAGTCACCGACCGCCTATATCCCATTAAAATATCACGCCCTACGCCCAAGTCAAGAAGTTGTCTAAAAAAATTTCACCACATGTGACGTCACGGGTCGCATGCGGTTGATAAATCTAACAGAGACGCTCAAGGCGGTTGTTTCCGGGTATTGCCGAACGTTTTTTATGAGTCTATACGGCAGAGCCACGCAAGTTAATTTACGCATCACAAAAGAAACGCACGGTGCAGCTTGATATGTAAACAGTGTCTGTTCAATAGGGTGCAGTGTTTTACCTTGTTTATGTCAGAGCCTGGCCATGGGGCCTAGAGTTACGCAGGGGTTAAGTGTGTAGCACAACAGACAACAACCGTTTAGCGGGGAAAGTATGTGCTACAAGCAACCACGTTATTTCTGCTCCGACAAAAGGCTCGTGTATTTTGTCTTACACACTCGATAGTTCGTTGAGCGTAGACAAGCCTAGCGGGGGGCGACATTTGCATCTGATTAGGGGGACATAACTCCAGCGTTTTTCGCCGCCGAACGCAGGCGCCAGTTATCAGACGCCGGACTAGATTGTGTCGTCTGCTAGAGCTCCACACTCCCAGTCCGCAACTCAAGACGAAATCACTGCTGTGTCCTTGAGCGCCACAGCCGCTTTGTTTACCGTGGGGCTCTCACTGAACACTGCTTTATTCCTGCTCTTCATTGGGCCTCGGTTGGTCTGGACTGCGAGAGCGGGTAGGTCTCAGGTAAGCTGCTACTATAAATAGAATCGACAAGAACCTGAAAACGGGCAGTAACAGCCTAGGTTTCAAGGTAATTAGTCATTAGTTTATTGCAGTTATTTAAAATTGAGAAAGATAATATTCACGCTTATTTTAATAATTGAACAAGAACAGTAATTTTTAATTAAATTAATTGTAATCGGAAAAAAACACCACAAAACAAAACTCTCAAAATATAACACATCATAATTTACGTGCCTGATTACAGCTTTTGGTTTCTGATTAACGACCAATGGACGTAATCTTAAAACACCGGACCCAAACTACAACGGCAGGGTGCAGTATTTCCAGCCTTGTTTTAGCTTGCACAGAATACGTAGTTGCTAGGGCTAGTCCACGTTACTTGTGTGAGAGGGGGTCACAGGATGTGTAGTGTATTATAAGGGCCCTACATTATTTTATCTTACCCTCTCGCCGACCAGACGCCAGTGTAGATGATATTCATTCTCGAGGAACTTCGAGGTTATTTTTTTTTCGAGGGGTTTAGTCTTAGTAAATATAGGCCCAAAAGGGTGCAACACGATAGTATATGAGACATCTAGATATATGTAGGGGATTGGGACATGTTGGGATATATGTAACGGTTATAACCCAGTCGGTTAAACGATTTTTTGCCCTCGACCACCGTTGTCGCCGCTCGGCCTGACTGCCCACTTTTATCACAAACAAGACGGATCGCCGTCGCCGGCGTGTAACACCGTTAGTCGCCGAGCTGTGGGAAGTTGCTCAAGTTGTTTTTTTTGTGCGCGCACGACAAGGAAGACGAAAATTTAACGGGCAGAGATAGGTAGGTGTAATAGTCGCGAGAATGGTTGTAGGACAGCACGAGTAGAAACGGCGAAAACTGCGCTACCCTCAGTATTGACTCGACACAGGGCCGCGCCAAAAAGTCTAGACACGACACGTGACTTCGCTACGCCAATGGCCGAGCGATGTGAGTGAACCGTATGCCTGGACGAGCCTACTCAAGCGCGAAGTAGGGGTGAAGACTTTTGCCTTGAATAGTTACTCATTCATTAAACCGACGTCAGCCATCAATGGTGCTATTCAGCGTGTGGATAGCAAATCGTTTCTATAACATTATTCATTGCATTAAAAGCCGAGCCAGCTATCGAGGATTTTTTTAGGCGAGTGAAACTAGATTGACAGAAACCTTCTCCCCCTTGAGTGAATACTTTTTACCTGAGGGCTCGGCAAAGGAACATCGTCGTGTGTTTTGCTCGTGAAACCCACATGTTGGTTTGGGTTTGTTGTAGAGGACGATGTGTTCGTTGGATTGGGATTTGTATGGAAGGCGATGTGTACCTCGGCTTGTAGATAGACATCGCTTGTAGTGTGTACCTTCGGAGATGTCGTACAGTCCGGCGCCACACCCCAGCCCTTCACTTGTTCTGGATTTTTGCAGGTCGGTAGGCTCTCGTTGTGTTGCCCTCGATTTTTTGTTCACGTTTACCTATGCTGGGGATCGGTGTGTACACGGCCCGCCCTCGACTTACTCGGGCAGATTTTTTTATTGTTGTTTTTGTCTTTAAAATAGCTCGGCACTCCTACGGTTATAAACAACAACAGTAATGCAATGCCAATTAGTCTAGGTGTATCTAATCTATTCATTCTAGATCTAAGACATTATTTTAATTAACTACCTTATCGAACCAAGTTTAATAACTAGACGCATGCTTAATACTAATAATTTAGTAGGGGTTTATAAAAGTTTTTTACCGATTAGCCTAAGTCTAAGTTCAAGCTTATAGACTCTAGAATTCTATCTAGATCTAGTATCTAGAATAGCATTATTAGCCCAAAGGCCTAGATCTAGATTTTTTTTTCTTATTCTTTTGTTACAAATTATTAGAGAATGTAGACTTAAGATCTAGATCTAGACTCTAGTCTAGATTTCTAGATCTTAAACCTAGTTATACAATATAGATCTAGGCCTCACAGTAGGATAATTTAAAAAGAAGTTAAGTCTTTAATAAACTTTAATTCATTGACCAATACAATAACAAATACTAATCTAGATCTCTAGACACTAGTCTAACAGATCTATTAAAAACTAAGTTATTAAAATAGGTTCCTAATTAAAATAAAATTTATTGCGAATTTAAAAGCAATTAATTAGGTTATAATAACTAGATCTAGATTTATATTTTATATATATTTATATTTTTATATATGTGATAAACTATTAAAATTAAGCGACTTGTTCTGTTACGAGATCTAGATCTACATCTTCTCTTTGAAAAAATTCAAAAGTCATGTTTTCACATAACCTTGCAACAACTAGATTTTAGGTTCAAAATCCAGATTATCTAGATCTGCGTTTTCGCCGTGCAAATTAAACGGATAGACTCATTAACCCTAGCACAAACTTAACCGTGCAATCTAGATCTAGAATTCCGCAGGTTAATATATTTAGATGATATTGATTCAAACTTCTGTAACTTCCATTTTTTTATTCTTTGATGTACTTCTTAAACTCTTGCGTTTGCCTTACAGCAGAGGCTTTGGGGGGGGGGGGGTATGTCCCCGGGCACCGACCCTAGGGGCGCCAAAATAAGCTCATTTTAGTTGCTATTTTGAATTATGAATATTAAAAAATATATGGGGGGGGGGCGCCAAATTGAAAGTTTTTCCCCAGGCGCCATGACGGGGCGCTACCAGTGTTTCTTCCAGACTTTTTTCTCCGGGGGGGGGGGGGGGCGGTAAACTTTCTTCGGGGGGGGGGGGGGCGGACACTGTTAAAAGTATATATTTTCTATATAAATTATTTAAATTTCATTTCGTTCGGGGGGCGGTAAAAATTTTTCGGGGGGGCTTGGCCCCCCCCCCCCCCCCCCCGAAGAGATGCCTGGAAGAAACTCTGGGCGCTACACCTCTGCCTTACAGTTCACAAATAAAGTCGAATTTTTACCTGAACAAGTCTAGAATACCTACAATACATCTAGATCTTATCTTGATCTATGTCTAAAAATTAAAAAAATAACTTAAAAATAGTGTATATTTTAACTATGGACCAAAATGTAGTATTTAGTAGGGCTAATTAATTATTGATAGATCTAGCTGATTAAAATGTATGTGAATGCATTTATTGATGTCTTAGTACATACTTACACATACATACTTACACATACATACACATACATACACATACATACACATACATACTTACACATACATACACGTACATACGTTTGGACCATGTTGTTACTTGTGTGACTAGAGTCAGGGTCAAGTTCTTGAGGTCAGTCATGTTTACAGGGATCAGAGTCATATGTTTACAGGTATCAGAGTCATATGTTTACAGGTATCAGAGGCATATGTTTACAGGTATCAGAGGCATATGTTTATGGGGTCAAAGTCATATGTTTACGGGGATCAGAGTCATATGTTTACGGGGATCAGAGTCATATGTTTACGGGGATCAGAGTCATATGTTTATAGGGTCAGTCATATGTTTATGGGGATCAGAGTCATATGTTTACGGGGATCAGAGTCATATGTTTAGGGGGATCAGAGTCATATGTTTAGGGGGATCAGAGTCATATGTTTATGGGGATCAGTCATATGTTTACGGGGATCAGAGTCATATGTTTATGGGGATCAGAGTCATATGTTTAGGGGGATCAGAGTCATATGTTTATGGGGATCAGAGTCATATGTTTATGGGGATCAGAGTCATATGTTTACGGGATCAGAGTCATATGTTTAGGGGGATCAGAGTCATATGTTTAGGGGGATCAGAGTCATATGTTTAGGGGGATCAGAGTCATATGTTTATGGGGATCAGAGTCATATGTTTATGGGGATCAGAGTCATATGTTTATGGGGATCAGAGTCATATGTTTATGGGGATCAGAGTCATATGGGGTCAGAGTCATGTTTATGGGGATCAGAGTCATATGTTTACGGGGATCAGAGTCATATGTTTACGGGGATCAGAGTCATATGTTTACGGGGATCAGAGTCATATGTTTACGGGTATCAGAGTCATATGTTTACGGGGATCAGAGTCATATGTTTACGGGGATCAGAGTCATATGTTTACGGGGATCAGAGTCATATGTTTACGGGGATCAGAGTCATATGTTTATGAGGCCAGCTTAATGTTTAAACCCTAAACATACTAGCTTACATGTTTTGGATAAACTGATAAAAATGTTGAAAAGTTGGTGGTTGTAGGTCTATATAATTATTCATATTGTTTCAAATTAAAACAATTATCAAAAATGTCTTTTTATTACAGAACTGAACCAGTAATTGACCACTAGAGTGGACTAGTCATTTTCATCACCATTGCAAGTCAGCCTGGAACAGAAATAACCACAATTTTTCTGGATGTATTTGAATTTTGTAGCTTACAGATTTTATATTTCCACCAACGGATTAATTACTGGTGATTGGTGCAGCTTTAACGAGCCATTTGTGACCAGGCTCATGTGTTGGTAATCTCTGTGTCATTCTGGAGATTTAATTAATTAAACTTAAGGGAGTTTCCCATTTCCACTATCTTGTGCACGTGTTCCAGGCGTGAAGCGAATGCACCCCATTGGCATGAGGTGTTTATGTTCCGCACCAAGCGAAACACACTCGTGAAGCGCCTGTGGAAGTACAAAGCAAAGGATGAAACCAAGGGTGCGGCTCAAAGGGATCCCTCAGTTTCAGCCAGCATGGAGGACGTTGACCTCAAGTCGGTCACCCACTCCTTCTTCAAGCGGCTCAAGGAGGAGCAGCTGGGGGTGCTCCTGCAGGCCATGGAGTCCCGTGGGGGGGAGATCACACCCTGTGTCCCCGTGTCCAAGTCGGATGTACGGCTGGGCAAGCACTCACTCTCTCCGTATGTTCTGTGCTGTCGAGTGTTCCGCTGGCCAGATTTAAAAGGTGACACGGAAATGAAACGGTTGCCAAGTTGTGCGCGGTTGAATGAGGATAGCGAGTCTGTAGTCTGCTGCAACCCGTACCACTGGAGCTTGGTGGTCAAGATAGGTAAGTTCTCACCTGTAGAGCACTGTTGATCTTATCTGGATCAGTACCAGCATTCAGTAAGATTGTCCCCTGTGGTCAGATTGTCCCCTGTGGTCAGATTATCAATGTCTTGTAATGTCATAATATCATGTCATAATGATGTGAATGTCATGACCAATAACACTCAGCATCCAATGTTTCAGATGAGCCACCCATATACCTGGATAAGTTACCTGGCTCTTCACCTGCACAGATAATTGATCACAATGAGACATCCACAGGTAAGTTTCACAATCACTGTCTAGTCCATGGCAACCACTGTCTAGTCCATGGCAACCACTGTCTAGTCCATGGCAACCACTGTCTAGTCTATGGCAATCACTGTCTACGCCATGGCAACCACTGTCTAGTCCATGGCAACCACTGTCTAGTCTATGGCAATCACTGTCTACGCCATGGCAACCACTGTCTAGTCTATGGCAACCACTGTCTAGTCCATGGCAACCACTGTCTAGTCCATGGCAACCACTGTCTAGTCCATGGCAACCACTGTCTAGTCCATGCTAGGGCAACCATTTAAAAATCTTTCATTCTATTCTCGTGTTATCATGTTACCATAAGTAACAATCAGAAAAAAAAAAAAATAATTGTTTAACTGTGAAAATAGTGCGTATGGTCACGTGTGGTGGAGGATAACTGCTCTGTCAGTCGGTACCCACCCCCAAAGTAGTGGTCTAACCCCCCCCCCCCCCAGTCGTTTGATCATGGCCTGGAGGGTAAGGGTCATCCCCCCCTACTCCCCAGCCTAAACTGTTTGGATTTTAAGGACAGCTTTTATGGACGGCATGCTCAAAAGGTAGAGCGTATAACCTCCAACATGAAAGTCTCGAGTTTAAATCCGACAATGTGCATGAGCCCACCCACCTGTGGTGGGTACCTGACTCCCATGCTGGAATATAAAGGCGGCTGGGGATAGTGCTGACCACACCATCCTTCATATGCCAAGGTCACAAAAACATCTCAACTTCACTTGCCCCATGGACTGTCAGGTTCAAAAAAGGAACTTTTTACTTTAAGGACCCTTTTGGCTTGATTTCCAATATGTCACGGTTTGTGTGCTAACATCATGTTATTCCATGCGTCATATATTTTGTGTAGATTGCTCAGAGTCCTAGACTGTCCTGGTCCCCAATAGAGGTCAAAGAAACGGACCATGGTCAAAGCCCCCCCCCCCCCTCCCCAGAGCATCATCCCGTGTTGATGCCCCCCTCCCCAGGGCATCATCCCGTGTGTTGCTGCCCCCCCCTCCCATCTAGTTTCTCCTGAGCCTACCAGGTTCCCACTTTGGGTTATCAGTGGCATAGATCAGGTAGCGGGAGGCTGCTGGCTTTTGGGGCGCCACGTCTTTCTCGTCTGACATTAACATTCATTATTCCCCCCCCCCCAGTAATCAGTCCGACCCACCCCCCCCCCCCCCCCACCTATAGGTGCTGTTAGCACATCCCGCCTCTGTACGCGAGTACGTTTTGGTTTCACCAGTCTGTCCACCACCACCGCTACCACCACCACTACAACCGCCTTCACCACCACCACCACCACCATCAGCACCACCACTACAACCATCACTACAACCACCATCAGCACCACCAGTGCAACCATTCAGATTATACAACACCAATCTTTTGTAAGAACGCGCCATCATCTGTTACCGTCGGCCATAGACTGCCTGGAGGCTTTCAAAATATTGACCCTCTCTCAGCCTCGGGTCCCAGACTCGGTCTCGTGACTAAATATAGTTGCTAGAGGTGGTCACTCTAGTCGCCAGAGGTGGTCACTCTAGTCGCCAGAGGTGGTCACTCTAGTCGCCAGAGGTGGTCACTCTAGTCGCCAGAGGTGGTCACTCTAGTCGCCAGAGGTGGTCACTCTAGTCGCCAGAGGTGGTCACTCTAGTCGCCAGAGGTGTGTGCACTGTCCGATCAATCTTGGACATAGGCTGCCTCATACACACTTTCATTGTGCGCCCCCCCCCCCACATACACACTTTCATTGTGCGTCCCCCCCCCCCACATACACACTTTCATTGTGCGCCCCCCCCACATACACACTTTCATTGTGCGCCCCCTCCACATACACACTTTCATTGTGCGCCCCCCTCCACATACACACTTTCATTCTGCGCCCCCCCCACACACACACTTTCATGCTCTCTCCCCACACACACACCCATACGTTCAAGCTGAAATGAGTTGCCGAGGCTGACGCGAGTGTTTTATTATTATGTGTAACGTTTGCTCACAGCAAGAAATCAGCGGCACAACAGATAGCTCCGGCCAAATATAGATTCTTTCTATCTGCATGGCCGGCTCGGGGGAGGGGGACTAGGGTAGGCACCTAGTTCTGTAAGGGTGGGGACGATGGTGGAATGTTATCGGTCGACGTGTGGATGTCTTCCCTATTTACCTTGACATTTCTTGTGATGAAAACCCTCGGCGCCTCACACTGTCGTCTGCTTGGTAGACACAGGTCACGTCCCTCCCACCCAGAGGGACACTGGTCACGTCCCTCCCACCCAGATGGGCACTGGTCACGTCCCTCCCCCCAGATGGGCACTGGTCACGTCCCTCCCACCCAGAGTTAGGGGTCACCTCTCTCGGCTTGACCGTATAACTGTTATCTTAAACGAGGGTTCGACCCCCCCCCCTCCTGTGCCCCGATGAACACGGTACACGAGTTCTCTCTGGCGGTGCCGTACGTTAGTCCTGTACCAATCAATGACAGTCAGATCCTGCAGTCCCCCCCCCTACCCCCCCCCCCCCCACCCCTGATATCAACTGTCGTTGAATCAACACACGGGGCCACTTGGCCGCTTGTGATAACCGACTGGGCCATGTTAACACAATAGGGGCCATTTGGGCTTCAGGCACCGGGGGGGGGGGGGCGGTACTGCCTTGAAATGTCGTCCATGGTCGAACAAGGGGTGGGGCAACGTGCCAGCGTCAAACGGTGACAGAGAATCCACTTACTGTCGCAGGTGTTGGTCCCTCGGGTCCTAGTTGTAGCCCACGACAAATCCTCGTAGAGCTACCAATGAGATTTGTGCTGGTGTATGTGAGCATGTTTGTCACCAGCACAACTCCACATGCAACCACTCGCACTTCTTCAGCGCAGTCGAGGGCAGGCTTCTAGTAGTCGAGGGCAGACTTCTAGCAGTCGAGGGCAGGGCAGACTTCTAGCTGTCGAGGGCAGGACAGACTTCTAGCAGTCGAGGGCAGGCTTCTAGATGTCGAGGGCAGGCTTCAAACAGTCGAGGGTAGGCTTGTTGCAGTCGAGGGTAGGCTTGTTGCAGTCGAGGGTAGACTTCTTGCAGCGAGGGCAGACTTCTAGCGGTGGGGTAGATCACACAAAGACTGAGGTTATTAACGATGCGATCGGAGGGTGATGGTGGAGGGGAGGGTAGGAGGTTTGTGATGTCATCAGGAGTTGGTGGAGTCTGTACGTGTGTGTGTGTGGTTGTATGTGTATGTGGTGTACATGCTTGTGTGTGTGGTTGTATGTGGTGTGCATGCTTGTGTGTGTGGTTGTATGTGTATGTGGTGTACATGCTTGTGTGTGTGGTTTTATGTGTATATGGTGTACATGCTTGTGTGTGTGGTTTTATGTGTATGTGGTATACAAGCTTGTGTGTGTGGAGTTCAGTCTGTGTGAGGGGAGGGGCATGTTGTGTAATGAATGTACAAAAACAGCAACACACCTGACAGGTACAACCCCGACACACCTGAAAGGTACAACAACCTTTACAACCTCTTTTAATTATCACACCGGTACTTTACGTCTCAGCAACGTTTTAATTTGTATAGTTCACTGTTCACATTTTAATTTGTATAGTTCACTGTTCACGTTTTAATTTGTATAGTTCACTGCTCACGTTCCACCGTTCACACTTATCCATGTGAAATTCATTCCCCCCTCTCCCCCCCCCCCCCATCCCACGAGAGAAAAAAAAAGTCCGATGTGACGTCAGTTGTGCTCAAGACCGAGCTGTCTTTGAGGCGCTAATACAAGGCGAGGTGTCTGGCTGTGTGATAATGAGAAGGGGGGGGGGGGGAGATAACGAAAGGATGCCTCGACAAGTGGAATGCAAACCCTAACCAAGGGACGCTACTACAGTTGCCCACAGCCAAGGGACGTTACTACAGTTAGAGCAGGTCCCCTATTCTAAAATTGAACTATCTAAAAGTTTGTTGTTGTGTCATCTCTGGTCTGGTCACCTACCTGGGGTCACACAACTTGGGGTCTACACTAAAGTCTTGGATGGGTGGAGGGTATAGTTTGACCGACGGTCAGTTGTATCGACCGCATCAAATTGTGCACTGACCACCATTATCTTGATGACCAGTGGCAACGCTGGTAGGTCCACAATGGTGCAGCGACCCCCCACGTGATCCCCGTGGCTACCCATTTTCACATCGTCTGACCGCCGGCCACCTCACATCTGCTGATGACTAGCGGCTACTGTCTACAGGTCACTTTAAGCCATTGATCTCAACTAAACACAGCAGGTTTACAAGGCTAGTTACATTAGTTAACCACCGACCAACCATCAGTTTTTAATTAATTAAAAAAATAATAATTAGAAAATGTAATTACTCGACCATGTCTCTGGTAGTTTTTAACCCTCTCCCCTAAGTCGTAAGTTATCTTCCTTGTAAGTCTCCCCCCACCCCCACAGCATTCCCCCACCCCCACAGCATTCCCCCACCCCCACAGCATTCCCCCACCCCCACAGCATTCCCCCACCCCCACAGCATTCCCCCACCCCCACAGCATTCCCCCCAGTCATCTTCCCTATAAGCCTCTCCCACCCCCGCAGCCTTCCCCTCCCGCCCCTCCTTAAGCCCCTGTCACCACAACCCGCTGTGTCAAGCCGGCCATAAATTAGCCAGCATTAAGTCGGGATACGCTGACCGTCGGGAGAGGGCGCAGCTATCCGCGGGATGGCGACCCAGTGGCGCCACTCACCACAGGACATGCCCCAAACGTGGACAGGTGCCAGCATTCAGACTGACGTTACCATAGTTACCGTGCTTGTTGTCACCCCTGGCTTGCGTTTTGACAGTGACTAATTTTAGTTTGTTGCCCTTGTCTGCTCAGTGGCCAGTTGTGTTTCATCGTTCCACTAACAACTTTAATAACACGAGTAACACATTTAATAACACGAGTAACACAACTTCAATAACGCGAGTAACACAACTTCAATAACGCGAGTAACACAACTTCAATAACGCGAGTAACACATTTAATAACACGAGTAACACAATTCGTGCTGTATTTGTCTCAAGCGATGTATAGAAGACATGCAGTATTTCCATTTTTTTGTGAAATCGGTGTACATTTATACTTTTATTGTCAATACTACAAGCTACAAGAACACTCATGTACAATGTCAGAAAAGTAGAATGCAAATATTTTATGAATGCTTAAACATAATATTTGACACTATTTTGATATTGGAATGAGATTTATGAACTCGATGTTTGATACAATTGGTTTTAAAACTGTTGCTGGTAGGCCTAATGTTGCACTCGAAACTCGCCTCGATGAATGAAGGAGCCAGTTTAATGACGTCACGTAAGCCCGAAAGATGCGGCACAGAGAAATATTTCACCAGATAGCCGTGTCACAGATACCTCTCTCTCCCTCCTCTCCACACACGAGGGTTTTATATAAGTTGTGAGGCTGAGGTGAGGTGTGTAGTGGGGCCACAGTGAGGTGTGTAGTGGAGCCACAGTGATGTGAGGTGTGTAGTGGGTGTCTTGGTGAGGTAAGGTGTGTAGTGGGGGTCTTGGTGAGGTAATGTGTGTAGTGGGGGTCTTGGTGAGGTAAGGTGTGTAGTGGGGGTCTTGGTGAGGTAAGGTGTGTAGTGGGGGTCTTGGTGAGGTAAGGTGTGTAGTGGGGGTCTTGGTGAGGTAAGGTGTATAGTGGGGGTCTTGGTGAGGTAAGGTGTGTAGTGGGGGTCTTGGTGAGGTAAGGTGTGTAGTGGGGCCACAGTGAGGTGTGGTGTGTAGGGGGTCTTGGTGAGGTAAGGTGTGTAGTGGGGTCCTAAGTTGCTACTATGAATTTTGTTACAATTGTTTCCGTTCCCCCCCCCCCCCCCCCCCTACGTTATCTCTACCCCTCCTCCCCCTCCGTTTCGTCTACGTACGTACGTATTCCGCCTGTCTTGTCCACCCAACGTCAGACTACCGGACACCGGACCGGCATACCACGGCGCGCTTCTTGATTGTTCTTCTAGCTACTAACGCCGCCCCCGTCCCACCCCACCTTCCCATTGATCAGAAATGAAGTGCTGATAATTGTCAGCATGTTTCTATTATTAACCTTCCATGAGCTGTGTCCTCCCATTCAAATACTCATCGCCGCAAACATTAGACTTTTATTCTCCGGTCTGTGCACCCCCCCCCCCCACTCTGTGCTCTATCCTTCAGCATTCCTCACCTCCCTATAATAGCTCGCCTTGTAGACAAGTCAAAACTTTAAAAACACTGACAGACTGACTGGAGTCACTACGGCTTCTGGGCGATACCATTTATCTGGGTCGCGGGGACGTCAGCACGGCGCTCAAGGCTTGTGGAATTTCAAGGGGAAGTAACTCTAGAAGAAAAAAAATACCGTTTTCATTGATAGCCCAATTGTGATATCCATAGCAGCAAGCTTACAGTGAGGAATACACGTCCTTGGCCATCTTTTGTGTAAAATACACGTCCTTGGCCATCTTGTGTAAAATACACGTCGTTGGCCATCTTTTGTGTAAAATACACGTCCTTGGCCATCTTTTGTGTAAAATACACGTCCTTGGCCATCTTTTGTGTAAAATACACGTCCTTGGCCATCTTTTGTGTAAAATACACGTCTTGGCCATCTTGTGTGTAAAATACACGTCCTTGGCCATCTAGTGTGTAAAATACACGTCCTTGGCCATCTTGTGTGTAAAATACACGCCCTTGGCCATCTAGTGATACACTTCCTTGGCCATCTTGTGTGTACAATAAACGAAAACAGTGCAGGACAATAGATTTCCTATTATTTCAAAATTGCCATGTTTAAATACAAGTGCGGTAGAATTTATCACAACCAAAACAAAAACACGGACTCCACTCAGAATCCATAGCATAATTTCTTAAGTTTCTTTTCATTCTTATAATGTTTTATTTAAAACAGTCTAATTTAGCTCTACTTTAATTATTTTATAAAGCTTAGCTGTATCAAATTTTTAATGTCTTTGAAAATCATTTAATTAGACATTATTTTAATACTAGTTAAGATTAATCTGTAACTGATCTGTATCTTGGTTTCCCCAGATAACGAGGGCACGGGACAAAACTTCATGTACTGGTGCACTGTTGCCTACTGGGAGCTGCGTGAGCGCGTGGGCCGTTTGTTTCAAGTCTCCGAGCCAAGCGTCCATGTCTTTCAACAGCTGCCTCATGGCAATGGCGTTTGTCTGAGACTCTTCCAGAAACCTTCAAGCGTCGAGGTGGTCAGGAGAACTAGAGAGAAGATCGGCTTTGGGATTATCCTCAGTCGGGAGGCCGCTCACAAGAATAATGTGAACATTCAGGGGAGGGTGAAGGAGGAGTCAGGGAGTCATGTGACCTGCAACATACAGAGCGGGTCGCCTGGGTCCCCAGACTGTCCCGGCCAGTACAAAAGTTCGTCTACCTCAAGTTGCATCATACCACCCTCTTACCTGGAGGATATTTTATTGAAAGAAAGCCCTGTGGGTGGGGGCAGTGAAGGTTGTGACACCAGCCGTGGTCACCATGGCGACGGCAATCCTCAAAAACTGCATCCAGAACATGACCCGAGCCATGAGTTCAGTGATGTGGAACATTCTTTTGATGAAAGCATGGATTTTACACAAACCACAGTTATGTCCCCTTCTTCATCCCCGCCGCCCCAGTGGGCAAGTCAGCTGCAACAGTCATCTTCACCATCATCATTTTCATCCTTATCATCATCACCCCCATCCTCCCCTCCTTCATACTTCAACAGTGATACCTCTTTTAACAGTCAGGAAATTCTGAGCTCAAACCATGAACCCACGGTACCCGCCCCACCCCAGCAGTCAAGGTACCAACAAGAGGAAGTCCCCACGGCACCGGCCCCACCCCAGCACCACAGCCACCTCAGACCTGCCGTATAAACAGGGAGAAGTTTGGGCCTACAACGCTTCAAATTTCCCAATCTTTGTCAACTCTCCCACCCTGGACCACCCCCAGTCCCCCCGGTCACTAGTGGTCAAGAAGGTTTTGCCTGGCTACTCCATCAAGATCTTTGACTACGCTAGGGCGGAGCTCCTTGAGAGGACAGAGGCCAGGAGTAAGTTACGCAGTGATGGCCCGTTTGACCCGTGCAGTGTGCGCATCAGCCTGGCCAAGGGCTGGGGGCCCAGCTACTCCAGACAGTTCATCACATCGTGTCCCTGCTGGCTCGAGATCTTCCTTGGTGTCAGGCGTAGGAACTCCACATCATGATGTTAGCAGATGGTCTGGTGGAGCAACATCATGATGTTAGCAGATGGTCTGGTGGAGCAACATCATGATGTTAGCAGATGGTCTGGTGGAGCAACATCATGATGTTAGCAGATGGTCTGGTGGAGCAACATCATGATGTTAGCAGATCGTCTGGTGGAGCAACATCATGATGTTAACTATCAGTTGGTCTGGCGGAGCTACTGTCCCTGCCGTCGTGGTCTGAGGGTCATGTGACTGGTCTTGTGACTGGCCATGTGACTGTCCCGCTCATTAGATCCTCCTTGTTGACTAACACTTCATCCCTTGCCTTAAATTGTTTCACCAGTTTTTTCTTGCCAAATTTTCTAGATCAAAACTCGTATGTCAGCCGTGTGGCCAGTCCTTGCTGGTACCATGGGAGTAGTGATGTCACCCCCCCCCCCCCCCCCCACTGTGTCCATGACACACCCCATTCTTCCTTGTTGAAACCATCCTCCTAGCATCATACTGTTGTTGTAATTAGAATCAATTATTCAGTAATTTAAATTGTTAGAAAACTTTTATGTAACATCATAAACAAGATGACATTTTTAAAGTGATGGATTCATTTGAGAATTTGTAAAATCTCTTACAAAACACATTTTTGTACTCATGAATTTTGTGTCCCAGCCCCCTAGTTGGATGTCATACCCGGATGATCCCTGAAGAAAATAGTTTTAGAACCCTCCTAGTACTCAGATAGAACCTTGCTTGATAGGACGCAATCAGATATTTTCTTAAAAATTATTTATTTACATTTATGGTCAGAAGATAATCCTGTTATTTTAATCTTTATAGAAAATTGTATAACTCAATTTTTGACATTTTAATACTACGCAAAATTTATGTCGGCAAAACTTGATAGTTTGTTACACATAACAAAATGTATTAAGTAATTTTGACGGTGTTTCTTGGTTGGTGATATACTACAGGTGGTTAAAAGGTTTGGAAGAATCTGGTTTTGATGGGGTGAGCCGTCCCATTCTACCTGACCTCTGGTTTATGGTTGGCCACCTTCCCACCTGCAACAATTTATGTGTTTACAACCTCAGAAATACCTTTCCATTCTGATGTAACAAGGCCAATGTGTTGAGCAGCCACATATCTTTACCTAAGAATTGGTTTTATGATACCTGTACCCAGGTGTGGGGAGGTTTGGCTAGGTGAGATATATTTACATGGAGCAGATGTGTAGCAATGTTGTCTTTTATGATACTCCACTCTGACAATTTTTTGTTGGGTAGGGCTCGACTTAAGTTTATTGCCTTAAAAACTGGGGACAGTTAGGGAAAACCTCAGATCCGAACCGGAGGGCTGGGCCACTTGGCCACGTGATTACCAGGGTGTATTGTATCAGGCCGGACACTTGAACACATGTGCCCAAATAATGGGGTTTTCATAGCCCCATTGTCAGACAGTTATATGGCCCTTGAGAGGGCTACATATCCAGTGTCTGCAAACAAGGGCCAGCCAGCATGCTGGGCTAAGTACCAAAGTCATGCATTCTTAACATACATAAACCTTCAGTCTTGGCTTAGGGTTAGATAGCGAGACCTTAAGCTTTAAAAAAATCTTTATTGCCCTATTCCAGGTGTTGTCAACACTTTGTGCTTGCACTAATGGGAATATAGAACGCTAGTCTGGCTAGTTATACCAGAAACAACTTGATGAAATACATTGTGAACAATTTAAAAACATTTATTTAATGTTAAAGTTGTTGTTTAGAATGGTCAAACCTTGTTAATACAGAATGAAAAGGGCTTAACATCATGAGGTTTTACCACCATAAACTGTATTTTACAACCTGAAACCTAAAGAAAAAAATTGTCAGAATTTGAAAATGCAGAAAAATGTAGTTGAAGTCAGTTTAGATAAGTCTTATCATCCAACAAGGGAGGGTACTCTCATATAGTTAAGTGCACTGTCAAGCCAGTCTCTAAGTGCACAATAAACAAGTTTGTAGGCCTGGAAGAACAAACTAGTAGGCCATATATGAGATGGTCACAAGCGGTCAGCAGAGTCGGCAGCCGTATCAGTCGAGCTTTATCAGGTTGTGTGTGACTGTTGACTTTACAAGGGCCTGTCATCCTGTTTGCCAACCTCTCCGCCTATGTTGATTGATATCTCCATTCTGGTGGAAAGGTTGCCAGATGCACCAACCACCTTTTGTACCAAATCTTTTTGTTTTTGTTCAAACAGTAACCAATTAACCTCACTGTCAGTAAGGGCATTGTTTTTTTTTTCGTTTTCATCATTGGGGGCAACTGTTGAAGGCAGACAAAATAGTTTCACTAATGCAGCACCTCAAGTATAAAACTGTTTACAGTATTTGTTCCCTGTTTATTGCTGTCTAGGTAGAACCCAGCAGTTCCTTGTCAGTCTTTATTTACAGGAAACCTCCTAATATTTTGTCAGCCATCCTAAATAAAAACATTTTTCCCCTTTTGCAGACTGATCAGGGGCATAACTCCTGTACTGAACAGACTGATCAGGGGCATAACTCCTGTACTGAACAGACTGATCAGGGGCATAACTCCTGTACTGAACAGACTAATCAGGGGCATAACTCCTGTACTGAATGGCCTTGAAAATGTTTTTCTATAAATATTGTAATATATGTTTTTATAAGGATAAATACTTGATTGTGATATGTTAGCTAATTTCTCCAAACCTGCCAATTAATTATAATAATTATGAAATTGACAGTCTTATAAACTTGACAGTCAAGTTTACTATTTTTGTTGTGTAATCTGAGATTTTTTATCTAAATAAACACATACATAATACACACATACACAATTCAGTATACACGCATACACCATTCAGTATACATGCATACACCATTCAGTATACATGCATACACAATACAGTATAACACAATTACAGTTAACACAAGCCAGTGGTCCTCAAAGAATGTATTACATGAACCATATCAAAGTACAGAAAGTTGTGCAGCTTGTATTATATGATCATTCAATTTTTTGTCTTGAAAGATTTGATCAACATGAAATGTATGCACACTCAGTCAATAGTAATTGTATAAAACTAGTTTGATGAAAAATGATTAATTTATTGTAATAATTTAATTAATGTACAGCTGTTCACCAATGTGTGCGTACAATGTATGTACACGGCAACACGTAGAGCGTGTAGTAACACATCAACTCCAGGAACCTTCTTGTAATGATTTCAAAGAACTATATTGGCTTTAATGGTTTTTTTAAACTAATTTAAAGGTTATAGGTCACTGTATTGTAAAGGTTATTGGTCGCTGTATTGGACTATTGTACACCTGTTCTGAATGTAATATATTATAAAATGTTTATTTAATTCTTGTTCAATGCACATTTTAGTGGCAATGACTGTTAATGCTTGTATAATTGCCTCTTGCGGTCATTTGTATGATGGTCTGTTGTGGTCAGTGGTTGTATGATGACCTAATGTGGTCAGTTGTTGTATGATGTTGTTAATGATCTACTTATCATGTGACCTGAAATATAAACTATAGATCATGGAAGTCTTTTGCCTTTTTACTTTAGTTTTTGGTATTTTTAGAATCTTAATTTATAAGGGACAGAGTTCAGCAACATGTCAACTACTATCACTTGACGTTAACTAAAACGAATCCCTAGACACAGTGCTGAATAAACACGTTTCCAAAACCTAAAACTCATCGCTTTCTTTTGTAAATCAATCTATAAACTCTATAATTTTAACGAAAAAAAATCATAAATATTTAGATTTACCATAAAAAATTGCTAAAACAATTAAAACATTTAAATGTATCTTAAAAATAAATCTAAAATTATAAAAATACAAATATGAACAAAGACAAGAAAAATGTATGTAAATTGTAAAAGCACAATGTAGAAAATAGAAACTGTTGGACAGAGTTGGCAAAACCAAATTCTCAAATCATCTTGGGTTTAAGAATCTTGTTGAAACTTAAGTTTTTGTGGTCATCCATAAATGACGTCACGCTTTTTTGACGATTTTTTACCTCCCCCCATCCCCACCGTCATAAAAAGCCAGATCCCCCCCCCCCCCTAAATTGACATCAAACCTCAGCCTAAAACCTCCCTCAAAATTGCAGTTGAATTTTTCTTAAAATACAATATTTTTCCAAAATCTTGTCTGAACTCTGGTCAACATAGAGTATTTTAATCAACGAGCCGGCCCGCGGCATAACATACGCCGCTATTTAGTTGTTTTTTTTTCTACTTTTCAGTTATTCATAATTTGTGAATACGACAGTACCAATGCTGCCACTGAAAATATTTCTTTAAAACACTATAAGTAGCTCGTTAAGGACCATAACCCCCACCTTCCTCCCCCCCCCCCCCCTCTACGTTTAAAATCGTTGGCTCTGCTTGTAAACATTTAGAGTGAACACAGCTCACTAAAACCATGTAGAGGTGGGGAGGTAGGGAGCGCGTTTAAAGCTTGTTTTCTAGGCGCGTTTGCAGCTTGTTTTCTAGCGGCTCCCAGAAGAGAATTATATATATAGATTCCTATTACAGTTTATTAAAACAGTTTTCTAAAACGCGAAAAAGCGGCTAAAATTCGGAGCCCCCCCCCCCCCTCCTCATCACACACCGTTACAAAATTACGGACACCCCCTTCCCCCCTGCGAGTGTGACGTCATTTATGGACAACCCCTATGGTGAAACTATAGTTTACAACCCTGATCCCTTAAAGTTACTAAAAATAACTGCCTATATAGTAAAGATATGGCAAGCAGATTTTAATTAAGACCGGACCAATCACGGTCTTAGAAAAAATTAACTAACGTATAGTCAGGTGTGGCAAAGTTTTATCTGTCTTTAATTAATGAAGGGGCCAGAAACCTCACATACTAGAATATATTTGTTTCTAAGCTAATTTTTCACGCATCAGTGACCAATTAATATTTTTTTAAACGTTTAATCTAAAACGAATCAATTAAATTTTTTTAATATAGCTCAGTGTATTGTTTGTGAAAAATTAGTTAAGGGAAGTAACTGAATATTCGTCTTTTTAGTTAAGCTAGTAATGATTTACGTCCCTTGGATGATACTTTATTTAAATTAAAAAAAAACAATTTATTAAGTTTTATATTAATAAGGACAATTTCAAGTTTCTATTATGAACTAAAAATATTAAAGAAAATATTAAAATAATTTTCTTGAAATATGACAGTAAATAAAAGAATAAGTTGCTTCTTTATGTTGTCGAAAGAAAAAAAAATTAAAAATAGTATGTCAGGCTAAAATAAGGCTAAAAGTGTATGGTAAAATTTATTTACAAATACAAAACTGGCCCAATATTTGAACACACTGAATGATTTCAACAGAAAACACATGTAGCCTAGCAATGATTAATGAATTTAAAAAATAAATAAAGTGAAAATCTAAAATCAAAGTTCATATAGCGTTGAACTAACATTGGATCTAGAACCAGTGGCGTAGCGAGGTCGGGTGTCACCCGGTGCGGCACTTAATGGTGTCACCCCCCCCCCAGAGGCATAGAGACCCTTCCCAGGGACAAACTTTCAAATTTTCGATTTGCACCCCCCCCCTCGAGTTTTCGATTTGCACCCCCCCCCCCCCCTCAAACTTTCGATTTGCACCCCCCCCTCGAGTTTTCGATTTGCACCCCCCCTCAAACTTTCGATTTGCACCCCCCCCCCCCTCAAACTTTCGATTTGCACCCCCCCTCGAGTTTTCGATTTGCACCCCCCCCCCTCAAACTTTCGATTTGCACCCCCCCCTCGAGTTTTTCTCTATATATTTTGCTATTTTTTGCCTTGGTGTCACCCCCCTAAATGGTGTCACCCGGTGCGGTCCGCACCCCCCGCCCCCCCCCCCCCTCGCTACGCCCCTGTCTAGAACTACAAGTCACGTTTAACCAAATCTTTTCGGTAGAAGTGGGTCCCATTTCGGCCGCAATTTCTTTTCCTCCACCAATGACTGACATGAGGAATCAAGTAACTGCCCACCCAGCAGTCAATTTCTGTTTACACCTGTAAATATATCCCTTGGCAACATTTAGCATGGCTATTAATGGCTTTAGCTCATGTTTGTAATTGATTTTAATCTATAGCTAGTCATGAGTTTCATACGCACGTTTACTAGTCATGTTGTTATAATACTCGTCCCTTGAACATATAAAAAAGTACTGAAATCTAGTTCTAGAGCAGTGGTTCTTAACCTGGGTTCGATCGCACCCAAGGTTGCGGTGAGTCAGAGGCGTAGCGAGGGGGGGGGGGGGGGGGGTGCGGACCGCACCGGGTGACACCCGACCTCGCTACGCCACTGCGGCGAGTCAGTAGTTCCGTGGAGGTCAAGACACAAACCAGACTTATATGTTTCGCGACTGGATTTTGGCAATGCGGACGATAGGACTATTAAGACGGATTCTTACGCTATGAACAGAGTTTCTTCCAGGCATCTCTTCCCCCTCGAAGAAAGTCTACCGCCCCCCCCCCCCCCCGAACGAGATGGATTTTATATAGTAAACATACACTTTTACTTGTACGCCCCCCCCTTCCGAAAAATGTTGACCGCCTCCCCCCCCCCCCCCCCTGAAAATTTCAAGTGCTCCCACGGAGAAAAAGAGTCTGAAAGAAACACTGGCTATGAAACTGGTGGGTTTTGGTACCTTCAACTTCCAACAAGTTAAGAATCACTGCCTAAAATTATTAAACTTTTCAGCATGATATCTAGGTGATTTAGTTTGAAAAACGACTTATATAATGTAGGCCTAGATGTATAGAGATCTTATAATTTAACTTACATTTTAATTCAAAGCATTTATTTTTGTAAGTGCTACGAAAGTGTCAAATTAATCGAATGCTGACAAAAAAATGAGTATGCTTGATTTTACTTGATTTTTACTTTAGAAAATTAGATCTAGTATTTTTCGAATTTATTGAAACAAATTATAGACTACATCTCTTTCTACCAGAGGACTAAGGTTATACTACAATGTATATCTCATTAATAACATAATAATTAATTATAATTGAGATTTTAAAATATTGTATAGATCTAGATCTTGATAGTTTAGTAATACTAGTATTCTAAGATATAAAACCAATGTGCGCACTTCTCTCTGTCCCCAACGTATTTCCCCGATTTTCCGAGGCTATGAGATTAATACCTTCAGCAATATATGGAGATCTTAAAGACATGGACTTTTGTTGAAAATAATAGGTTGAATGTATTAAATGTATAATCTTAATTTATTTAAAGAAGAAAACCAAAAATAAAGGCATATTCGAATGTAGAAACACATTTTAAATTATGCAACCAGAAAATAATCTATTGTTGTGAAAAGAACGCAATAAACAATGACGTCACATGTCACAATTACGAAGAGTGCACAACACTAAATGGCACCATCTTCCAATTTTAGAATATGAAGAATAAATCATTCCATTTAAATTTGATTTAGATCTATAAATCTCCGCTATGAAATTTACACAATTTTCTCGACCAAAACTAATGCAAATTACTTTAAAAAATAACAACAACATAAATACCGGAACAGCCGGGTTTCTAACTGAATCATTTAATTAAGTCTCTTAATCAGTGTGTGCATTTTTAAAAAAAAATATGGTGTTGTGTTGACTAATCATAATGCTTATAATTTGGTTTTAATTTTCTAATAGGTTTTGGTTTCATATGTTATTTTAAATGTGTCGGATTTTTAGCTATTTAGTTATTTCTTAGCTTTGTCGCCAATATCGTTCAACGTGTAGTAAAGCACCATAATAACTATTTTTTTTTTCTAAACAAGTAGGCTTATAAATAATATTAAAAATATATAGGCCTATAATTCACATGAATCGGGCACCTATGGCTAGTTTCATTAATTACGTAGACCAGGGCACTTTAAAAATAATCGGAAGCGGAAATGGAAAATATATTGTAAGGGGAGATAATGAATTACCGGATCTAGATCTGCTATGGTCAACAAATCAACCAATTTTCCCAGGAAATCAAAATAAACTTTCCCACTTCACGTTAACTGAACCAATTTACTAATTGAAAACAACTGCACTTTTTGTACACATCATTTTAATCGTCATGTCACTAACATACATTAATGCTGTATCCTGGTAAAAATTAATCAGGAAAATATGGCGAGTGGAAACATACGCGGTGACGATGAGAGACAGGGACTTTCGAGATCTCTGCGTACGCAGATGGGCTACGGTACAGCTCCATCGTCTGCTGCCACGAAAAAATCCATTCCGATAACTCGAAAGTTTATTTCCAGAAAAGTGCAACGAACAGACACACTGATGGGAATATCTCTCAAATATGGAGTTCCAGTAAGTACAACTGTTGTTACCATTTCATCCTTACCCCGCCATTTGTTTCATTTCTTCCTCATCATGTCTTGCTTGGTCCTGCATTCTTATTAGGCCCTAGTGATAGTGAACCCTAGTCTTATGCAGTAGATCTAGAACTAGATCTAGGCCTAATCATGTCTTAGTCTTACTTAACTTACTGTTAGCCTTACTTTATAATTTTATTTGTTTAGGCCTATTTTAATGTTGTTTTTTTTTAAATTTTACTTAGGCCTAATTGACAAATTGAAAATTTAATTTAGTTTTAACCTTTTATTACATTAAAAATTAAAATAAATAGGCCTAGCCGTCTATAGGTCTATGATATTACGATATATAATACCATATTTTAGACTTATCTATAATTTACGCTTATAGAATGTAAAGAATTTTAATAATTAATATTATTATATTAATATATAGCCTAAATAATTAATATATTTATATAGACCTATATATCTATATATTCTCTTCATGGAGACCATGCGAAACACCACCATGTGTAAACGCACGCCGTTACTCCCCCACTTTCTAGGCATATAGCTACCACCCCCGCCATTCTGGTGAGCTAGGGTTCACCCTGAATGTTAACAATCGTAGAGCCGCGTCAAATAAGTAATGGCTATTAGGGGCAGATAATTTAGCTTTTAAACAATTTGAAACTAAGGAGAGGTAAGTTCTGCTTGATCTTTTCATAGTCGTCTGTAAACTGTCGTCACGGACTACTGCTTTCACTGTGGCAGGGAAGGGGAAATGGGAGGGTAGTGTCTAATTCACTAACTATGAAGTACTGAAAAGTAGAAAATAAAATAACTAAATAGCGGCCTATGATACGCCGCAGGTCAGCTCGTATTAATATATTAGTAATTAAAGTATTTCTATTTTGGGCCTATCAATAAATGAATAAACTACAATAAATTATTTTGTCATGGACTTAGAATAAATTATAATGAGGAATGCTGCTTCAGCTTTAAATAAAGTTGTATTTTTCTTTTTATGTCAATTAAAAAAATATTTCTACTAGGCCTACAATAAATCAATTAATTTCAATTCTTATTCCATGATGACACATTTATTTCTAAATGAATAAAATATTTTTTCACTCAACATAAAGATAAATGATAAAGAACAAATGTTTTAGATAAGTCAGAAATGAAGTTTATGTATGTCGGTAAAGTCAGAAATGAAGTTTATGTATGTCGGTACATTAACCCTTTATTTACGGAATTATGTTCTGAATGAGATTTTTACTTAAACAATGTGTTACTATATTGCTTTTGGCACATTCAAAGCAAAAATCGAAGGAAATTTCGTTTCATAAATTTTTAATGGCCCAAACAGATATTGGTACTTATAAGTACCGTCAGTAAACTAGGACATTTTTTTTCAAAAATTTTTTTTTTACAAAACAGGAACAAACGATACAGTTTATTAACTAATAACATGGCAATCATTATAACCGTCATTTTTTTGTAATTTTCACACATAAATACAGCACAAAAGTATATTATGAGTACGATTTTTATTGGATTTTCTATCGGAACACATCTTAGACCTCAAATACAGCAAAAGTTGCCGACATGTCATGCTCCCTCATTCTTGTCTGTGGTCATTCTGGTGTAGCAACGGTTGCCGCACTGAACATGCTTTTGCTGGAAGCTTCCAATAGCTATTACTTACAATGAGCCGCATAAACAAACAAAAGCCTAGTCATTCAGTACACAACTACTAGTAATACTAGTATAATTGTAGCCTACTAGAATGTTATGACAAGTCTACACTACAGTGTAAAGTTCATAAATAGAAGTGAGCTCAATGTGTTTAGGATAGCCGAAGTGGCCTACTGTTTCCTGGTTACGGATTAAAATTTACCATAGAGATCTATACCATATGCAGAAGTATCGACTATTACTAGTCTACAGATATACATTACGTAAATACTAGTTATTGTATGCAAGACAGTTTATTGCAGTAAATATAACTAACAAATTAAATCTTACTACTAGAAATAGGCTTTGGTATACAAATGAAGTATACTAAGCCTAGTAAATGAGCCTGCAACTGCTACCTTTATTCTTGTTATTCTTTTACTACTAGAAATCAACATGTAATTACAATATTTCTTATGTAAACCATATGCTAACTTTCTTATAAATGTGTAAATATCATTTTTTTAGTACATTTCGATAATTAGTTATCAAAATAATATTTATGTCACTCCACATCGAAAATCTGCCATTTCCTAAAAATCCTAAAAAAATGTCCGTGTAAACATCGATCTAATACAAAGACAATTTGATTAAAATTGTATAACTAGAAGTTAAACACGTTTGCCTGACTATTGGAGATGCCAATAAAAAATATTTGGGGATGAAAACTTCAAGAATAAGATAAAACGAAGGGAAATCAGGAACGTGTGTGAGAACGTTACAGAACAATTGTAAACTACCGATACAGCAAGACATTGAAATTGGCGCCATACCAAAAATTTTCAAAGTACATCGATCCCTCCAACTACCGGCTACTCAGGGGAGATAATACTATTAATTACATCAATAATTTTTAAAATTCGTATTAAATTAAAAATTATGCAGGCACTTAATTAAAGTGGTACTTATAAGTACCGTCAGTAGATAAAGGGTTAAGGTGATGACTTAGCTTCAAACACTTTTTCTAGACTCATATACATTTATAATTGTATTATAGGTAGCAAACAAGGTATTGTATTCTATTTGAGCTTGTCGTTCAACTAAGTACTGCTGATACTATAAAAATGGTTAGAAAAGATCCTAATTCTTTCAGCCACTGATATAGTTGTTTTAAGATAGGACCAGAGTTTGTTGTGTTTTAGGCTTGGGTTTTGATGGCCATACTTAACTAGCAAGCAGTTGATACATTTTTATCCATTAGTTCACAATAGGTGGTTTATTGTTCTAGAACTGTTAGGTCATTGGCATCTGTGGTTACTAGAGTTCTAGAATTGTTAGTACAACCCCCCCCCCCCCCCCAACAACATCACCACTCTTAACAGTTTAATTTCAAATTTGTATTTGCATATATTACAATGTTAAGTTAACTGGGTTAAAAAAATCTTATCTTGAATGACAATTTTATCAATCTTGCAAGGTTTATGTTTTCAAGTATACTCATCTTATTGTACCTGTGGTGCACCACAACAGTTGAACACAGGGAATTTAAGGGAATTTGTAATAGAAAATATTTGTTGAACTCATGGAATTTAAAGGAATTTGAAATAGAAAATATTTGGTCTAACTTTTGAGGTGCACAACAGTTGAACACAGGGAATTTAAGGGAATTTGTAATAGAAAATATTTGTTGAACTCATGGAATTTAAGGGAATTTGTAATAGAAAATATTTGTTGAACTCATGGAATTTAAGGGAATTTGTAATAGAAAATATTTGTTGAACTCATGGAATTTAAGGGAATTTGTAATAGAAAATATTTGTTGAACTCATGGAATTTAAGGGAATTTGTAATAGAAAATATTTGTTGAACTCATGGAATTTAAGGGAATTTGTAATAGAAAATATTTGTTGAACTCATGGAATTTAAGGGAATTTGTAATAGAAAATATTTGTTGAACTCATGGAATTTAAGGGAATTTGTAATAGAAAATATTTGTTGAACTCATGGAATTTAAGGGAATTTGTAATAGAAAATATTTGTTGAACTCATGGAATTTAAGGGAATTTGTAATAGAAAATATTTGTTGAACTCATGGAATTTAAGGGAATTTGTAATAGAAAATATTTGTTGAACTCATGGAATTTAAGGGAATTTGTAATAGAAAATATTTGTTGAACTCATGGAATTTAAGGGAATTTGTAATAGAAAATATTTGTTGAACTCATGGAATTTAAGGGAATTTGTAATAGAAAATATTTGTTGAACTCATGGAATTTAAGGGAATTTGTAATAGAAAATATTTGTTGAACTCATGGAATTTAAGGGAATTTGTAATAGAAAATATTTGTTGAACTCATGGAATTTAAGGGAATTTGTAATAGAAAATATTTGTTGAACTCATGGAATTTAAGGGAATTTGTAATAGAAAATATTTGTTGAACTCATGGAATTTAAGGGAATTTGTAATAGAAAATATTTGTTGAACTCATGGAATTTAAGGGAATTTGTAATAGAAAATATTTGTTGAACTCATGGAATTTAAGGGAATTTGTAATAGAAAATATTTGTTGAACTCATGGAATTTAAGGGAATTTGTAATAGAAAATATTTGTTGAACTCATGGAATTTAAGGGAATTTGTAATAGAAAATATTTGTTGAACTCATGGAATTTAAGGGAATTTGTAATAGAAAATATTTGTTGAACTCATGGAATTTAAGGGAATTTGTAATAGAAAATATTTGTTGAACTCATGGAATTTAAGGGAATTTGTAATAGAAAATATTTGTTGAACTCATGGAATTTAAGGGAATTTGTAATAGAAAATATTTGTTGAACTCATGGAATTTAAGGGAATTTGTAATAGAAAATATTTGTTGAACTCATGGAATTTAAGGGAATTTGTAATAGAAAATATTTGTTGAACTCATGGAATTTAAGGGAATTTGTAATAGAAAATATTTGTTGAACTCATGGAATTTAAGGGAATTTGTAATAGAAAATATTTGTTGAACTCATGGAATTTAAGGGAATTTGTAATAGAAAATATTTGTTGAACTCATGGAATTTAAGGGAATTTGTAATAGAAAATATTTGTTGAACTCATGGAATTTAAGGGAATTTGTAATAGAAAATATTTGTTGAACTCATGGAATTTAAGGGAATTTGTAATAGAAAATATTTGTTGAACTCATGGAATTTAAGGGAATTTGTAATAGAAAATATTTGTTGAACTCATGGAATTTAAGGGAATTTGTAATAGAAAATATTTGTTGAACTCATGGAATTTAAGGGAATTTGTAATAGAAAATATTTGTTGAACTCATGGAATTTA